CCTCTACAAGATGCTCCATAGAAGATATGCTCAAAAATACAAAAAACCTCACATGTATCAAAAATTAAACTTTATGAATTCTTCATAGTGAATAGGAACACAATTTTTAATTATTATTGAAATATCTGTACCTTTTGATGTGAGGTGAATATCAAATACAATACAATACAATTAAGCACAATAAAAGAAAAGGAAAGATTTTCTTCACCTGCCATGGTACAGTGACGCCTTTTGGTGAATATTTCGTGCGATTGTCGATAGTCCCGTGTACTTTGGCTGTTGCTCTGAACAGCATCTTCAGAGTGTGGTAACTTGGTTTCGACGATACTCATCATTGTGCACATGGTGTATGAGACGTAGCTTCTTCGTTTAGATGATTACTGCTCTTGCTACTTTATATGTAGATATTGTTCTGTTTACACTGTAACTTCGCCCATGCCTTAACGTGGTTGGTTATGCCTTGTGCTGTGGAGATGGGTGAAGAGAAGATATACCTACACCCACTCTTAGAACTCATACTGTCTATTAGTCTGCTTTTCAAGGTCACGGGTGCTGTGATCCGTGTAATTATAGCATCTCATTTGTGAACGATTCGTAGCTGATTGTTTCAACAAAGTCATTCGTTGTCGTAAGAAATATTTGAAATGTAGCATGTGTTCCATAAACTCTCTTCACGAGAGAGAAAACTGATAGTAGAAGAGTAAGAATGAATTTGACGTCTAATTATTCGAAAATGCACGATAATAGTATTTCATGGTTTTCGGGGTACTAGCAGAGAAAGATGTGAGGGTGATTATGAAACAAGTCTTACATGATATCTCATACAGAATACGAAAAAGTCGTGCGTTTTTCTCATCGTAGCGTCATGTTCGCTCTACATCTTTCGAAGAAACATATTTGAGTGTTCCTCATCAGATTGGCCAGAAAAGTAGTCTATCTTTCAGAGAATTTTGTGTTGATCATGAATAACAATACCTTAGCTGTCTTCGTTAGCACCTTGAGAAGGATGAAGGGGGTTGTGAATATGGGGATCCTCGTTTTTCTTCCTTTCGATTATTTTACCGATCAAGAAGTCTACATTGTAGACTTCAATTTTCTAGATCCCCTTAACAATACAGTGAATTTAACCGATCAAAATTCAAGACGAATCAGTACAAATTCTGTTGAATATGTGACATGATACGTTATCTAAGTGAAATAATAACGAACAAGTTTCTAAACTCGATTATTCTTCTTATTGTTTTGTCACAATCATTTCACATTCAGTGACTCGTACAAATAAAGATTGTTAATTGCGACTTAAAATAAATAATTCACTTGTGAGACTCTTTTGAGGCAATCGATATTAGTTCTAATTTTACTTCTCTGCTGTGTAATAGTTCCCATTAATTTAAGACAGAACAGTAGACAAGAAAAAGCCATAGAATGGTCTACGAAAGAATGGCATAAGTAAGACGATCAGCAATCTTCTTGCATTGGTAGTTGACAGTTAGCGAAATAAAAGGACTTGTCTGTGAATAGCCTAATCGACATAGCAGAAAGATAAAATGTTCACCATAATAGGAGTGAAGGAAGAAACGTCCATGAGTCTGTTCACAAATGAAACCATACAGGACTATGAGTACTGTTTCAAAGCTTTAGTCTCTGGAATTGAAGTTCAACTACCGACTAAGCGATTGCGCAGGTGATTATATTTGGAATTAGAACTTTGTAAAGCCTGTTCTTAGCGTGAAATACCTTTAATAAACTACATAAAGACATCGTGTTGAGCATGGAAACCTTACAATTCTCGGTTGTATTATCGAACTGCATCATATGTTTCAGGGTTAGACTTCCACCTCATTAATTTATTTGATTGTATTGAAACTATGCTAAATAACCAAATTCTTAATACTAAATAATCAGCTTAGTGATGTACGTAGAATATTTTATTCAAAGAAAAATACAATAAAAAAAGAATTTAGAGTCTCTTGGAAGAGTTCAGCTAGCATTTGATGGGCATTGGATAAAAGCTACTTGACTTGTACAAAATTCGATTGGACAGAGCTTGGAAAAAACGATTTTGTCAATAGATTCTGTCGACAAAAATTATATTCTTTAAAACTTTTGTTTTGGCAATGATCTATTTGCCTCTTGACTTTATTTATGATGTTCATGTTGCTTGGACACATGCTAAAAAAGTTTTCTATAACATCTCTCTAGATGTTTCGATAGAATATGCCAAGACACAACGAAGTGTTCCAATTTCTAAATGATAATAACTGAAGAATTTTTTCATGATTTTAGACATATTCGAGTATTATTTAAGGCGGTTAAAATACACACTCACTCTTGTCATTAATGTAGTCTGAGACAAGTTTTTAATCAGCATTGTTCTGAATTTTCCTTTGATTCTAATTGATATTTCTGTAGGTATCTCGTCACTTCTTGATGTATATCGACAATTAAAGACACTTGTTCTACAGACTGTCCATGAAATTGATGCTAATGATCTTGCATCTTATTAGAAAATAATCTCGCTTATTCAAAATTTGACACTGAGAAGTTGGTCGCTGAACAAGATATCGGCATTCATCTGGAAGCATCTTCGGACCAAATTTTGTTGTTCTATCAGCCTCAACATTGACCATCTTATCTTCGAAACAATATTCTTGAAACACAAAATTGCTCGATGAAAACTATTACAGAAAAGCAATTCAACATTGCCGATTAATGAATACCAAGATTTTGAGAAAATCAATTATCTGACGAATGTGCTCATCTTTTTCTGGCACATCCAGAAAAAAAACAGAAAAGAAAAGTTCAGATTCTGTCAGAACACGGCAAAGATTTTCGGCAATGAAAAATGAAGTCAAGACCTTTAAGTGTAACCTATTTCCAGATGCGGAAAATTTACTTGCTTCGATTTCGATTTTTTTTTGTACTTAAAAAGGCATTCTAATGTCCTTTATCAAATGCCATATAAACGAAAAGTTTTCACTGTTTTTAAGATCCTGAAAAAATTCGATTGTATAAACTCTCTGTATAAAAAGGCTGCGTATCAGAGCTGTTTGGTACAACAATTTATTTGTATTGAAAAGGTTATTTCATCGTTAAAATGTCTTATGTGGATCGAAGATGCTTCTCCCTAACCCTTCCGTAAGTGTATTATTTGATAACTGCGCAAAAAAAATTAAAAACCCTAAATATTCAAATAATGGCATTTTATCTGGTTTTGCGTTTTTCTCAAAAAACATTCTTGTACAACAAAAACAGGGCCGAATCGCCCCTGTTTCTCCACTATACTAGGTTTGATTCAGTTGAAAACTATTTTTGGCAGATACTAGATATTGTTTCGAGTGTATAATAATGATTGTGAATATTTTGTTTTGATTATCTACTTGAAAGATCCTCGTTTTATCTGGTACATGTCATATATTTCTACAGAACTTCTCTGAAAATCTCTTCAATGGATCATTTTGTTCATGTATTTCTCTTTTAGTTAATTGATAGTTGAGTGTCATTTGATTTTGATAATGCTATTTCCGAGTAAGTCATACAATAGTCTTCATTTCGACATCTATATTCGAGTTATTCTGTTTGTTCGATAAGTATTTGTATTTAACCAGTAGATTTTTTTTTCTGTTCTGTGTTTATTTCACAATACAGACAGTGCGCTTAAATTACAGTTGTGCGTCGTTTTCTTTTGCATATTTGAGTATGACAAAGTAAGTATGTATCAGAATGACGTATGATCCCTTTAGCGTATTATTCATCCCTACAATGATCCAGTACTTTATTTTGTCGCGTAATTTTTCGCAACGTCATTGAATAAACGTTAGCATGTATAAATATCTATATATATGTTCTATTTTCTGGACTGAATTCTATTGCTTTTATTTCAAACTCATATATTCATCAGTAAGGTATGGATTCGACTGCCGATTTTTTATATACCATATTTTATAGTGCTGTTTTTATTTCATGACGAAGATATCCGAACTATTCTCTCGGTTTTGAGCTGATATTTTTCCTTTAATGTCGACTCGCTGGAACTAGAAAAATTCGCTCCCATGATATGTATATTTATACTTCGAAAGAGCAAAATTACTGAAATTTCCAAACCTTCGAAAACCTGATAGAAATGCAAAGCAGCAGGTTTAGAAAATTCTCGAAATTTCCGGAATTATAGAACTTTCCGATGTAACCATATTGAGAAATAGTTATTACTGGTTTACTAATTTTTTGACCCAGTCCAACTTATTTACCGAAAACATTGAATGCAAAAGTTTGCCGCTGAAATATTGCTCACGGATAAGTGTAATGGTGCCTAGAACATTCCAAAAGTTTCAACTAAAACAACGTTTCTGTTTTTCAAGATATCGAATTTTTGCAACTAACTTTGACTGAAACTCTTAGTTGAACATACTAAGGGTTATTCGACCTATTTTCTATGGAAAAAGCTTTAGAACGAAATCTCTTCCTTCTATATTTAGGGCAATACTTTGTAATATGTCGATAATTCAGTAAAACAGGTATAACGTTCTCTAAATATATCAGTTGAAAACTAAAGAAACAGTTTGGGTGTCGTCTTCGTACGTGTGACATTTCTTGGTATGATCATGTTACTTTTTGGAATTATATGTAAATGTGTACAGTAAAGCATAGATGTCGAAGAACTATGTCAATCAAATTATTATTTATATACAAGGGCGATCAAAACTGAACGTTCACTCCTACATGATTAGTCTCAGAATGTTATCGTTTCACCTTAATAATAATAATTTAACATAAGGATGTCTTATTGTCTCACTTCACTACTATCCATTTCTAAGTAGTTTGAAACTAGAAATATATACATATATATTGTTATATATCATGAAGTAATAAGTTCAGGCATTTTACTTACATATGTATGACAAATCTAGCTCGATTGATTAGACAATAGTAAACGAACATTTTGTTTTTAGATAAGAAAATTCACTTCTGATCACATCTTGTTTTTATAGTTTCTTTATAGCATGTCATCGTGTAAACAACCTGCGGTTTTTGTTACTCATGGAGCTGGTCCTTGTTGGTTTGTGGACAGCAATGACTTTCCATCATTTGCTGGTATCGATAAAAATAGTGCCGGTGCAAAGTGGTTTAAACAGTTACCTCATCAACTTGGTCAAAATGAGCAAAATAAGCCAAAAGCAATTCTGTGTATTACTGCTCATTGGGAAACTCCTGGTGTCGTCAGTATTAGTGCACAAAGTCAACACACTGACCTGTATTATGATTATAGCGGCTTTCCAAAGGAGACGTATGAAATAAAATTTCAACCAAAAGGCGATCTTCAATTATCTCAGAAAGTTTTCGACTTATTGAAACAATCTGGTATTAATGCCGTATTAAATACTAAACGAAATTTTGATCATGGCGTCTTTATTCCATTGAAATTAATGTATCCAGAAGCTGATATTCCCGTTGTTAGTATGTCCATTCTCAGCAACTATTCGCCAGAACAACACATTGCTATAGGTAAAGCCCTGTCACCTTTAAGGGAACAAGGAGTATTAATAATTGGATCTGGATCAATCACACACGGACGAGCTTCTCGAGCACAAAGTCACGAATTTGTTGATGCAATCACAAATGTCTTACAGACATTGTCATCAAATGACAGAGAGCAAACATTGGTCAACTGGACTATGCTACCATACGCACGAGAAAATCATGGTCGCGAAGATCATTTGATTCCACTACATGTGATTCTAGGAGCAGCTGATCAAGATAAGTGTCAACTATTAAATCATCATCTATCAAAGACTCTGGCAGCCTACGCATTTTTATAATTCTTTTTTTACCGATTTATTTAGTTGTGGACAATTAGTAAGCGAGATCTTACTATAGTTATGACTTTCAACTTTTCTCTATTGATCTAATTGATTCTCACAAAGTAATAAAGAATAACTTGAAATTTTCAGCAAATATTCAACACAATCAGTTCTCTAACAATTATTAGCTGAAGTTATGTTCATTAAATCGAGGTTAGTCTTCACTGAAATGTAGTTGCTGTTTAGTAACAGATATACATTTATATAATTTCGAAAAATCACAAGAGAGATGCTCGGAGAGATTGCGGGGAAAGGCCACGATGCGCTGCACGTTAGCAGATGAACACGTTCGGAGCTATTTATTCGCAACGTGTTCATTTGTTCGAAACTCACACTTTGACGAATGTTCCAAACAAACGAACGCATTGTGATAAGTGATAACTAGTCACAGAACACATGGAAAATGCTAGTCAAACTGGAAAGAAATATAACAACTATGCAATTAGTAGACCATTATCGAAAAATAATTGCGCTCCATAACAATATTTAAAATTCATTACTACAAACAAATGCATGTAATCAAAGTATAGTTGAAATGAATCTTTTTACGTACAGCAAGGTGCTGTATGTTCCTTCAGAAAACAAAACCCCCAGTGATCCAATCTGATCCGTGGATCTTACAGGAAACCATTGGATCCGATGCCGGATTGCTCCGGAAACCAATGCCCATCGTTAACAACCGATCGGATTCGATCACGTTTGTGTGAGATCCTAATGTACAGGATTTCCGAATGGATCACGTCGCGTCCGCTCAGAAATGCCTTTGGCAAAAACCCAGATATTGCCAGATTCTAGAGCGAGTAGGGTGGCATTTCATCAGATTCCGTCAATAGGATATTGAATCGGATTATGTCAGAGGAATCCTGCGGATGTGTGTGTAGGTGTGAATGTAGGAATGGGTGTGCATCATTCGAGAAATCCGCACCTAAACTTGCACCCACTCTCATCCACATCTACACCCAAATTTCAGACCTCTATCTCATCCCAGTCAAAAGTTATGAAGGACCAAAGTTATCAATAATGTGCTTTGTTGCATATGTCGGATGATTCATCAAATTTCACGGCTCAATATTTTCGGATATAAATTTTATTGTTGGTAGAACTCTTTGAGATATGTTTCGGTGGAAAATTTCAGTTCAATCAGCTAAGTCATTCTTGAGATATGACCACATTACGACTTCCGTTGGTTGAATTAGACACTTTTGAGACTTTTCGTAAAATCCTCATAAAATTCCAAGGACTAAATATTTTTCAAAACAATTGGCGCCAAAATTCGTACAACTCTTCCCTCTACAACATAACTTAAATTGAGTAAAGCTGCTATGTGGCAGGTTGTGGCTTATTTGAGCCGGCTCATAATTACTAGTTTCCTCATTCAATGTATGCTTCGACAATTCATTGGTATTCATTTGAACATGCACTTTGAAAAACTCTTTATATTATAAAAAGAAATTAAAAAATAACTGACTTTATTTGGCACCTAATCCATGGAAAGACAACCAATTGTCCAAGATAATGCAACATGAATACAAGAGTTGAAACTATGAATATGCTTTTGAGAACCCCGATGACCATAACTAAGATCTTATTGAACCTATGGTTTTGATAGAAATCTAAGTCTTTATTTCACTAACATGCTCATTATGTTAATATATGTCTCTACCATCTTTTTGTTGTATCAGTCATCTTGTTAAAGTTCAAGGAACATGTATTTTTATGTCGTTATGTATATCGCATCGCGATGATTGAAGCATGTTAATCGTTTTTCAATTTTTGTTTGAAGTATGAAAATGTTATTTCTATATGATGTAGATCAGCTTCAAATTCTTTTAAAGATTAGAACAAATTCAACTTCACTACCATTTTTTTCATAATAAAATAAAGCACAACTGACAAAGTCTTTTTTTTTCATCAACAATATTCATCAATGATCTAAATAATGGATCTTCGATCAACAGGATGCATTCTTATAAGATTGAAAGAATAACAAAACTCTTCGGTTAATTCGTATTGTTGAGATTTCCGTTTGTACTTTGATATCTTATTGTTATCAACTTTGTATAGATAAGACTTAAATCAATTCATATATGCAATTAACACGAACATATTTATGTTTCAAATAAGTTCTTCTTTAACATAGCACAAAAAAGTGATGAACTTTATCTGATGTTTTATCTGTGTTGATTGGGATGCGAATTAAATTAAGATTATAAATATAGTAGAAATGTTTGTTTATTCTCAAACGACGTATTTCTCTATCTGTAATGAGAGATTCAGAAAAAGGAAACTCTAAGAAATCACAAAACCGATTTTGACTCTTTATTTAATGTTTTTCAGCCGATGTCTGTCAGTTAAAATCAATAAAACAGCATATTTTCGAAACTAATCATGTCATATGGAAATTGAAAAATCTAACATTTATCCGAATACGCGTGCAAAGCATGCTTTAAAAGAGAATACCATCTCAAAACATGTTGGATCCTAAAATTTTCATATCTAGAGATCTTTTTATACCCAATCTCTTAACTTCAATAGTTTTCCTCTCACAGTGAAGTATAAAAACTGCCTGATATGAATCCATCAATTTTAAAAACGAACGATCTATGTGTCGTAATGACAGAATAGAATGCAATTTATCTTTATGCATATCTGGTGCAAAGTTCTTTTTCCTTTTCTTATATCTAAAATGATTTCAAAGTATAGGAATATAGAGTTAGCTCGCAGTTATATGACATCTGAGCTTTCGTTGAACAAGGAAAAACAAAGAATTTATTCAGTTTTTTTTACACTCCATTTGAATAATATGAATAGATGGATTTACTTCACTAAACAAAATATGAATTTAAAATCTATCATTTGTATAAAGGAATGAAAGCGGTTTTTCATCTGCTTTTGCATGGTAAATGGTCTGTCTCATGTAACACGCGATTCCGTCACGATTTTTGTTGTTTTGTAAATCTCTTGGCGATCGATCAAAAGGAAATAAAGAAAATCTTTTGCATCTAGCCGTATAGAGAATAGTGAGCTGAACAAAATCAGATACTTTTCGTTTTCACAGAATATCGTGATTATGAAGTACAACACAAAGGAGGAGTGGCGCTAAGGCCACTTTTCGGCCCAAAATATTTTCAAGAAATAACTATATGACAGTTACGAGGTCCATATGGGCTACAAATATCACAGGGTAA